TTTTTTATTTCTTCTGTTTTGAAAGAGTTATGAAGCTACCATCTATCTTTAGCAACTAGCTGCTTTTCAAAATTATTCAGAGATTTTTCAAAATTTAGGTACTAGTTACGCTTCGAACTTGTCATACAATATAATATTGCAGGGAATTTTGAAAACTGTACCTTGTCATATGATATTATTGCAGGATCTTTTGAAAAATGTCACTTGGCTACAATAATAATAATCTGTATAAATTAAGTTAGTCAATAAATTGTATATAATCAAATTATAGAATGAATACTGATTAATATAAAAATAATTTCAATATTAATATAAGTTTATTATATTTCTTATTGTTATTGTTATGATATGTAGTAGTTTAATATTGAATTTCTATGCATATTTCATCTATTTTAAAATAACTATAGTTTTTGAGTTTCTCAATAAATTTAGGAAAATTAACATATTTTCACCCAACCAATTGAAAAATACTGAATTCATACTTATCTCTTTCTTATTAATACGTTGTTACCATATTTTATTTAGATTTCTAAATAAATATTGCTAAAGTTTTATTTAGATTTCTAAATAAATATTGCTAAAGTTGAAAAATTAGGGTGAATTTATAAATTGGATCATAATTTAAAAATAATGTCATATATACTACCTGTTAAAAAATTTGATTATTTTGAATTGAAAAAAGTATTAATAATTTTTTAACACCTCGGTAAGCCGATGAGCTTCATTGACCTCGGTAGCCCGAGGACTAATTTTTTAAACACCTCGGTAGGCCGAGCATTTTTTTTTGGAGACCTCGGTAGTCTAAGGATGATTTTTTTGGACATCTCGGTAGGCCGAAGAACTTCTTTATGGATCTTGGTAGTCCGAGTACTAATTTTTTGAACACCTCGGTAGGTCGAAGAGCTTCTTTATGGATCTCTGTAGTCCGAGGACTAATTTTTTAACACCTTGGTAGGCCGAGGAGTTCTTTTTTAGACCTCGGTAGTTCGAGGACAAATTTTTGGAGACTTCGTAGGCCGAGGACGAATTTCTGGACACCTCGGCAAGCCGATGAGTTTTTTTGGAAACCTCGGTAGTCTGAGGACAAATTTTTGGAGACCTCAGTGGTCCGAGGACTAATTTTTTTGAACACCTCGGTAGGCCGAGGAGTTTTTTTGGGGACCTTGGTAGTCTGAGGATGAATTTATTGGACACCTTCGGTCTTCTTTACTAGGTAATTAACAACCTCTACTCAGCTTTATCAAAGGCAATAGTGAATAATCCAAAGGAGGGTTCCTTAATAAGTGTCACTTGAAACATGTTCCGATGATTCACTCTTCTACTCATGTAGCCGCAGGACTCACACTCTTTCCTCCCCTCTTAACACGAAAAAGTTAACATACCTCTTTATTTTGGTTTTACTCGCCATTAAGGTTCAAGCGCGTTCGCTAGTACTCCTTTGCCACCATGTGACATAATTCGTTTGTGTTTCCACGCGTTCGCTTACGTCCTTGGTTGCATATCAGCTTTGAAAATGTCCATGGACTTAAATGCGTCTAGCGATAACGAAATCCTAGTCCGATGACCCCACAGACGTGGCCACAAAGCTAACGTGTATATTGATGGGGTCGTGTCTAAACTTGTAGACGATGAAATCTGTAGGTTCTATGCAAAACGTTACATTCCTAAAACTTGGTATTTCTATATTCCGGAGCCCGAGGATGGCAGTTTTGGCGAACCTCTTCTTGGATGGCTTTGTCTTTACGAAGACATGTTCAAATGTGGTCAACGGTTCCCTCTACACCCGACCATCATTGAGTTCTTAAATTTTTACAACATTTGTCCTGCTCAACTTACCTCTAACACTTGGATGATCATTGTGAGGTTTGTCCTCCTTGGGGCTTCAGCAACCATACCCAAGAAAGCCAAAGTCTTTCCATTTACCGCCTCCAACATCATTTCGGATCTGATGGTCTCTTCTATGTTGTTTCGAGGTCATGTTCTAAGCCTCTGGTGGAAGCTTCCAACGACACAAAATATTGAAAGTCCAAATACTTCTACGTTTATTCGAGTGATCCTTGTAACTTTCCCTCTGATCGGCGCGACGAGGTTTACTGGCCCGTTAAGTCCAAGCTCTCAAGTAGAGAGGAAATGACTAAGTTGACTCTTTTTCTTAGAGGTCTCGTAAGCTTAACCTCTTTAGTAAAGAAGAAGAACCTGATCGCGGCTCGTTTGAGCCATGTTCCACCGACTAAAGTTGTTGACCTTAGTATGAATCAACTGCAGTCTTTAATAAGCATTGCATGCACTTTTATTATTTGATCTTGATTTTTACCCATCTCTTTCGTTCTTTGCATGGGTATGGAGGTGAACAAAGCCAATAGGATCAAGATCAAGATGAACAGGAGCAAGGCGATGGCTGAGGCTACCCAAAGGCTGGAGTTGGGGGTTCCCCCAAGAAAGATGCCACAACTCCGTACTTCGGGTGTAATATCCCACTCAGTTATTAATAAAAGTAATTATTTTAGTTCTGAGATTTGAAATATTTACTTTTATTAATAATGCTCGTTTCTAGTAGCGAGTCCAGTTATTAAGTTATAAGTTATAAGTTTGAATTTAAGTTGAAAGTATTCTCGGTTAAATTTTATTTAGTAATCGAGCCATTTCATTAATTAATTCTGATCCGTTTATTTTTAGAAATAGATTTTATTAGTAGGGATTAATTATTTCGAGTTGTTTAATAAGTTTATGATTAATTTGACATGAGTGTTTAATTTTATCATTTGAGTATATTAATTTATTTAGACAGTTTAGTCTATTTAAATTATTAAGAGAGAAATATGAAGGTTTTAAAATTTTTGAGTTTTTCCGGTTTTCGATTGTAGTCAGAAATTTAAGTTCGATTTCACTTCCAGAAAATAAATTAAATTATTTCCTCTCTATATTTTTAGTAGACTACAAGATAAGAAAAGTTTTTTTTAGCATTAAAAGAGAAAAAATACCAAAAGCAAAAGAAGGAAATCTGAAATTATTAGAATTTTTGATTTTACGGTAACTGTACGTTTTAAGTCCGAATTCGGTTCCGTAAATTCTAGATTTTTCCATATTTCACGAATTTTTTTAATGTCAATCATATTGGGATCACATTATGAGGCCTTTTTAAGAATTGACTATAGATTGGTTAAGTTTATAAGTTAAGATTACCATTTATTATCTTTATTTATTTTTACAAGTTTTGTTTGTTTATTTTGTTTATTTCTTCACTCAATCATCTTGTCCCCTCTTTTGTGGCTATAAATAGAGGCCTTAAATCAGATTATTTTTATCAAAGAAAAGTTTCAAAAGTTATATAACTTATTAGAGATAAATAAGTTGTGGGAATTTTGGAGAGGTGAAGAATTAATTTTCAAGTTCAAATTTTAGTTTCAAGCAAGAAGAAGAAGGTAATAAGTCCTTCTTTTAGAATGCTTTATAGATAATTTAAAGTGTCTTCATATGTGTTAAAATATGCTAAAGTTCTAGCTTTTAAGTATTTATAATCATGCCATGAAGTAAGAAGTTATGTTAGATCGTATGCATGATTGTTATGTGTTGTTTGATTTCGAATTAAGCATGCTATGTATAACCTGGTATATTAAAATTATTATGGCTATTTCTTGTGTAAATAATGAGTACATAGGAGCAATAATCATGTCTTTTGGTTAAGTATAGCTCGAGTTATAAATTTATAAAGTTTATCGTGCAAGCTGAATTTTATGTGCATGTTCCAGCAGTGACTTTGAAAGGGCATAAGTTGAGATATATGTATGATAAAATTATGAAATTTTTATGACATGTTTATATATGTTGAGAGCATGCATGTC